TCGAGATGCGGTGGTATGGACATGTGTTGAGAAGGGATGAAAGGGTCGGGATTAGGCGAGCGTTGGAGTTCGAGGTTGAAGGAGTGGTAGGAAGGGGTCGTCCGCGATTGGGATGGAGAGAGCAGGTGGAGAAGGACAGGGTGAAAGCGGGGTTGCGTGATACTGAGGCGAGTGACAGATGTGGATGGCATCGAGGGGTATTTCGGTTTCATCATAGGTAGCCAAACGGCAACCTCCGATCTCGGGGGAAAATGTCGTCTAAACTTGTGTGTGTGTGATAATATTGCTACTGGTAACTGTGGTTATTATTATTGTTGTTACTGATATTTCTTAATTTAAATCTAATTACATTGTTAATATCTGATATTTGATAACCATTATTAACAAGTAATTTTTTAATGCGATTCAATTCTGTATTGATGTCATTTTGATTAGTTGAGTGTGTTATTGCTCGGTTGACGAAGGCTTTGATAGTATTCAGTTTATATTCTTTCGTACATTCACTTTGTCCATTAAGACAAATTTCTTTGTTGGTTTCTTTCACATAAACTGTGATGTTGAAATTACATTCATCATGTTTAACGAGCACATCCAGAAACGGTAATGATTTTTCTTTTTCTAATTCAATTGTGAATTTAACTTTTGAATGATTAAACGTGGTAACGAGTTCATTGATCATGTTGTTCATCATTTGCGACAAAAATATCATCAACTTATCGAGTGTAAATGTGGGGTTTTAAATGTGGATGTTGTTCAAACGTCTTGTTTTCTAAATGTCCTAAATAAAAATTAGCGAAAAGTACTCCTAGTGGCGAACCCATGGCTATACCATCAATTTGTTTATACATTTTTCCTGTTGAACTTATGAAGGGTGCCTCGGTTGTACAAATTTCCAAAAGCGATTTGAGGTGAGATTTGGGAATTTTGATGGGGGACTTATTTGAATTGTAAACCGTATTGTCTTAATTGTCTCTTTCACCGGTACGTTTGTAAATAAGGATTCCACATCGATGCAATGTATTTGGCTGATGAATTAGTATTTAAAATTTCGATGAATTCGCGTGAAGATTTCAAGTTGTAATCGTTGGGAACATAAGGAGTCAAGAGTTTACATAGTAATTTGGCTATTGGATATGTTACGGTAGGAATCTGGCTAATGATAGATCTCAATGGATTGTCAGTTTTATGAGTTTTCACATTACCAGGTTGGAATTCGCCACAAAAAGGAGAAATTTTATCATTAAGACAATGTCTGTCTGATGAAAGTATATATATATATATATATATATATATATATATATATATATATATATATATATATATAAGACAATATATATCTGATGAAATATATATATATATATATACTTTCATCTTGTAACCCACTGTTTCATAATGTCACCCACTAGACATTTTAAAGTTTTTAAAAAAATTGCCATTTGTCTATTATTTCAAGTATGGTTTCATAAACTTTTATTTGTAAAAATAAAACGTAAATTTAGTTTCTCAGATGAGTGGCAAAGAGGAGCAATATCTTGTAGAACTTTTATTGCTCTTTCTGCACACACATTGCTGCGTTGAGTGTGTATGGAAGATGGACTTTGAGACCAATGAGTTTGAAAACAGCGCAACGCCTTAGGATATTCATTAACAGCATATAAAAGAAATTCATATTGTTCAGTTCTGTAATAATGATCACTAAACCAGGCATCACTCCATTGTCCACAGATAAATTCACACAATTTCTGAAGGTTCTTTTGTTCATCAGGCAATAGTATGAAAGCCAACAATGCAAAAATGCTCGAGATC